TTGGTGGGTCTTATATGGGTCATGAGCAATTAGTCGATGGGTCCGAGTCGTCCAAATCTCCTTATGAGTTGACAGCTCAATTAGTCGATGTCATCGGATGACCATAAGAAAGACACGTGGCATAATTTGATTTGTCGATTTTAAAATTAATTTATGACACGTGTGATTTTATGATCGATCATAAATATAATTTTAAATTGTGACGTGATATTTATTAATGGTCAAACTTTTACCTTCAACAAACACATTCTTGTACTTTAATCATTATATATGTATATATAGATGGTTACCTTTTAAATATTTTAACTAAATTTCTTAAACTATACATAAAAGTGGTTATGAGTAGAGGTTTATTTAAGTTTTTGAAAAATTGAATCGGTTGATCGAAATCGAACAAACCGATGTCAGTCCACAATCTCCTTGTTTAAGTCATTAATGCCATGAGATTCTCCATGTCCTCTTCAAGATCCAGCTGAGTCAATGCATGAAAACTTTTTGTTTAGCACGACTTTCACTATCAATGAGGATGCTACAAGGGATGGGTTTAATAGTGCACCGAGCATAGAAGAGGTTGTCTCTTTGCTCTCTCAAGGTGTCTTGCTTTGGTTGCGCTGTAGGAGCTCTGAGCCTGTGTGCTTATCTCTGCATGAACCTACATGCCAAACCCAACCTCGCACCTCAATTCACTAGCTTGTTTTCCTGTTTCTCAAAGATTTACTCCTTCGAGTCGTATCGACCCCTAACCTTTGTACCTAGGGTCTCGACACTTCTCTAACTTACTCTTTCGAGTCGATCGGTTTAGACCATTATTCGATCTAGGTCGATTTTTCACTAATTAGTTAGTTGGATAAGTCAAAAAGAAGAAAAATTTGATAGACTTACCAGTTATTAATTAAAAACAAAAATTTGTTACATAATATCGTTTGTCGTGCACGCTTTCCTCTAACATTAATGCTTAGAGGTTTTGAGAAAACGAGCATGGCTACTTGATTTCTCAAATCACTCAATCAATTAGAGACACAACTAACAAACTTTTTCTCTCTCCTCTCCCATTCGCTTGAATCCCCTCTCGTTAGTGGCGGATCCAGATTTTAATGTCAAGGGTACAACATCCATATAAACGTTATGGAATAAAGTTTATCCTATATGTTGTCAATATATATCGAATTTTATCCTGAACTTTAAATTTTTATCAAATTGTACCTTAAACTTGGAATTTATACAAAAACTAGATAAGATTATTTGGTTTTTTTATCGTGAACTTTAAATTTTTATCAAATTGTACCTTAAACTTGGAATTTATACAAAAACTAGATAAGATTATTTGGTTTTTTTATCGTTAATTTATAAGTTTTTGGTAGAGTTACATAAAATTCCACATGTTGTACGCGTCAAAATTCGAAGCCAAGATTCGAGGGTCATTGGAGGCTAGAGGAACGTGCACGTTAGCCAACGAACCAAACATCAATTTCTCATTAAAACAATACAAGCAGAACTGTTTTTACCTGCTTCCCCAACAAGTTTTTTAAAATATGACTACTGTTGAATCAATATTGAAATGTTTATTAAAAAAAATAAATTAAATTAAAATTGTTTTATAAACAAATAATTTTTTCAATCGAAATACAGCACATCTAGTGTAGTGGTATCTTATTACCCTCCCACGGTACTGACCGGGATTCGATTCCCCGGATGTGCAATTTTTGTTTATTTTTTCTTCTCAAATTCTATTTTAGTTTTTCTTTTTTTTAATAAAAAAATAGTAATATTTGCCTTTTGTAAAATTAAAAAAGAAACATAAAGTTATATTTAGTATTAATTTATCTTTTTTATAAAGTTAAAGGTTTGAAAATTTAAGGGTATTATTGAAATTTACCCTAAAATTTAGGGACATTTGGTATAATATAACCTATTTTGTATGATATAAATTTTGTGTTAGCTTCTGGGGATGTGAGATCGATGAGCTATGCTTATGTTGGCCTATATAATCTCAAATTATTAACTATTCATTAAAGATGGTGCATGTTATGTTGAGAGTATGTGTTAATGTTGAATGATAAAATTTGGTCAATTTATTAAGTGTCACGTCATTATTTTTCAATTATATTTAGGACTAATAACAAATTTACATGTGTATTAAAATTAATTTTAAAAGTGTCAAATCAAATTATACAATGTGTCTTTCTTAGGACTGTCCAATGACATCGACTAATTGGACCCCATGTGAAGATTTGACTCATACCCATTAAGGTCATAAGGAGAAGACTCATATAAGATCCACTAAGACTTTATAAATAGAAGATGTCGCATTTTATTTGTAGCATTAAGAAGGATTGAAGGGGATTTAGATTCAAGGCTCTCGGAGCATGCACAAGCATTTAGAATCATCTACAAGCAACAAGTTGAAGACTTCATTAAGCTACGAGCTAGAGAACTTTATCTACCGTAAGCTAAAAACTTTATCAAGCTACATAATCGATGAATTTCGTCAAGCAACAAACCAGAGACTCCATTAAGTTGCGCAACCGAAGAACTTTCATCAAGCTGCATAGCTGAAAACTCCATCAAGCTACACAGTCAAAGAACTTCATAAAGCTACAAGCCTAAGAACTTCATCAAAGTTGTTAGTTGAAGAACTTCATCAAACTGCATAGTCGAAGACTTCATCAAGTTGCATAAGCGAAGTCTTAAAGCCAGATACCCAAAGATCCTTCAACAAGCAAGAAGCAAAAGATGCTAACATTATTAATTCGAGAACAAGGCTCATCAACCTTCAAATCAAAGTTCACATCCTAGAGAGAACATAAGAGAATTATATATTAGAGGTTGTAACACTTACCTACATAAATACAAATCAAATTCATTAAATTCGAGTTTTACTTCTCAGAAATTCCTCCGAACAATTACTTTTTATTAATCTATACTAAAATCAAGTTTGAAAAGAAAAATAGATTACATAGAAATAGAAAACTCCTAATATTTTCAATATAATAGTAACATGTATGATGTAACTGCAGAATGGTTAATAGAGTTCACTCAAATCATATATATTAAATTGAAACTTTTAAAACCGTAAATTAAAAATGATCACAAGATAGAAGCTTTTAAAACCATCCAAGTGAAAATAAAACTCAGCTTAAATAACACAAATCAAATTTGTAATTGAAATTAAATTATTAAATTATTAAAATTAAAACTTTTTATTCCATAAATAGCATTCATCATTCTCACTTATGTGCACGGCGCATCTAGTGTTGTGGTATCATAGTACCCTTCCACGGATTTCCTTGAATGCGCAGATTCTTTTTATTAATTATTTAGATATTAATTATTATCTTTACCTATTATATTGTTTTTAATAATTTCTTTTTTTTTTTGGTTGGAAATTGTTGACTTTGATAACAGAGTTCCACACTATAAAATAAAGTTATGAATATGATTGCCTACTTTGGGTTTCTTGGGTTAACATATCATTGAGTTTTTGCTGTATGTGGGTATAGTTTCGAACTTTTGAAGTATTTTAAGAGAAAAATTAAGTACGATCTCACATCATTTTTAGTACGATGTGGTAAGAATGGATGTTAAAATATAGGGTACGAGGATTTAGAACTCAGACTAAAAAGAAATAGTAGATGCAATTGGTAAGAATGGATGTTAAAATATCGGGTTGAGAATTTAGAACTTGAACTAAAAAAAATAGTAGATGCAATTCAAATTTTAGTAACACTGGAGATTATGGAATTGGGTCGTGTTCTACACTATGTAAGTGAAAAGTGGCACAAAGCAATTAATTAAATATACTTAACTTGATTAATTATACCCTTTTATGTTGATTGATGTTAATTTTACATCCGAAAATATGCCACGTGTAAATCAACAACCATTAATTAAAGACATAAATCATTAAGGACAAAAAAGGACAAAGAAAAAAAAAACCCACATAAGATTCCAGACAAAAAATTGTCAATTAATCGAGGTCTCTTTGATAATTGTAAAAACGAACATAGCTCAACAGTAATTAACACATCCTTCCAACCAAGAGGTTGTGAGTTCGAATTTTCTCCCCAACATATTGTACTAAACAAAACAAAGTTGCTTTGAGGCTTCTCAAATTGAATTCTCACTTTTATTTTTACTTATTTTCCTTTAAATCTATCTCTCTTATTTCTCTTTTCTTCTTATTTTTTTTTCTTTTATCTTTCTTTTCTTCTACATTCTAGTTCTTATACAAAGAAAATTTTCAATTTATCTATACAAAATAACATAGAATCACAAATACTATGATACTTTTCTTTCTTAAAAAATTGACATATTAATATAAATAAAATTTTCAAACTTAGGGACATCAAACCTGCTTGAGATAAGAATCACAAATTATATAAAAATAACAAAAGAATTGCCGCAATCTAAACATAGCTCAATTGACACCTATTTCAGCCCAAATTGTCTCGAACTCAACCTCTACCCCACATGTTGTACTAAAAAACGTGCTCAACCTCCAGCATCCATCAAAAACCAAAAAAAAAAAAAAATTATGATTCTATTGATCGAAATCGAAGTAGTCAGAGGCGTTGGTTGTTTGCTAAAACCAATGCCAACCGACATGCACCCCTAATATGTACTAAAAATAAAAGGTTCATATCTGTATCGATAAGAAGAAAACCAACTTCACATTTAACGTTCATAACATAATATGAAGAATTTCCAAGCAGATTCAATTACCTGCAAACCAATTCTACGCAAGATGGTGACAGTTCTAAAAACAACAGTGAATTAAAAGACAAAATCTCAAATCATATCATCAAATTCAGAACCACACAACCACCAATTTTTGATACATGTGATACACAGCAAGTGACAAACAGAACTCTCACAACACAAAAAAAAGACAGACCAGAGAACACAGCCTTTTATTCAAGTTCTGATGATATGGCGATCACCCATCTAGTGAAGAAACTCACCTCCCAAGGGCAAGGCTCTATTGGGTGCGCAGAGCAAGCACCTTGGCCCAAGCTGGCCTGGCCATGATATCAGCCACCCAGGCATTGACATGGGGGCGAGCTTCGAACAGTTTCTTGGACCGTGTCCCCATCAAGTAGTCTAAAGTAGGGAGATGGTGCAGGTCAGCCAAAGTGAAGGACTCACCAGCCAAGTACTTGGACTGAGGCAGCTTCTTTCATAGATATCAAGAACTTTGCCTAACTCAGCTTCACCTTTCTCAGCCACAGCAGCATCTGCCTCACCCAAACCCAACATTGGCTTTAAGCAGAGCTCCCAAATCACTTTCATGGCTGCTTGGTCCAAATGGTGGCTCTCCACCTCAACCCACGTTAATATGGCCACCATTTTCTTGGGGTCTTGGGAAATCAATTGGGTTCCATTAGTAGCATAAGTTGTCGAGATGTACTGCGTGATTGCCCTGGATTCTACACACAGGCAAATTATCAAACGCCTTGTGTGAAAAGACAAACTAAAGACAAACTACCACGATTTCTCTAGAAATTTAAAGTAGAGGCAAACAAATTTTTTACCAAAAAGCGAGAAATCTCCATCTTGGAACCCAGGAATTTGACCAAACGGCTGCCAAATCAACCACCAACCAATCAGGCATCGAGTGAAAACCCCACGAAAATAAGCTAGGGCATTGGAAGTTTCAAACTTACATTGAGTGAGAGGAAGGGCTCTTTCTTATGTTCCTCTTCGTGCATTTTGACATTAACGAACTGGAATTGAAGCTCCTTCTCGTACAGACAAGCTAGAACCCTGCAGGTGGCTGTGGAAATGGGGATTCTGTGGACTTTGATGCTGCTCGCCATTGATTCCAACAAGAGAGTATTTACATATACGAACACAGTTCCCTCATAGTGAAAGAAGTAATGAAAGGCAAGCCCTCGATGAAACTACCTTTGTTGTTGTCTGTATAGCTTTCTGGAGCAGAGATCTAAATCATTGAAAATGTGGCAGTTTCTGTATTCACAAAATTCAATCTACGACTTTGAAAACGATTCATAAACATCTTCCAACCTCTTGAAGCTCAACAGAACTCGACCCCGAATCCTTCTTCAGTCCTCTCTCTCTCATAATATCTCTCACTTCCTCAACCTCACCCCATCTCCCCATCTCTGCAAGAATATTAGACAACACAACATAATATGCACCATTCTCTGGCTCCATTTCAACAAGCTTCCTTGCTGCAAACTCGCTCACTTCCAAGCTTCCATTAGCCCTGCCACCAGCTAACAAAGACCCCCACATTGCTTTTGTGGCATCAAAGGGCATATCTTTTATCAACACAAAAGCCTCCTCAATACACCCTGAACGCGCCAAGAGATCTACCATACACGAAAAATGTTTGATTCCGGGAGAAAACCCATAGCTCCCATCGACCAAGGCTCGAAAGATCTCCCTGCCCTTGTTGACCAATCCGGAGTGGCTACAAGCACAAAGCACTGCCACTAATGTCACTTCATCAGCCTCAACTCCTTCTTCATCCATTCTCTTAAACCAGGCAATGGCCTCTTCTCCACTCTTGGCCAAAGCTAGCCCTTTAATGAGTGCATTCCAAGTAAATACATTCTTCTCTTTCATGGCCTGAAAAACAACCAACCCCTCCTTGATTCTCCCACACTTCCCATACATATCAATCAGAGAAGTCCCCAAAATCACATCCACTTCCCACCCTCTCCTCTTCACAAACTCGTGTATCCAAACACCCATTTCAATGGCTCCATAGCCTGCACACGCAGCCAACGCATTCACCATCGTCACGCAGTTCGGTTCGACACCCGCATATTGCATGTGCTCAAACGCAACCAAAGCGTCATCAAACATCAACCCACCTCGGTACCCCATAATCAGAACAGTCCAAGACACAACATCTCTCTGGGGCATTTCGTCGAACACCTTCCTACAGAGCCCCATTCTCCCACACGACGCATAAACATCCATCAATGAGTTCTGCACATAAACATCAGAAACAAAACCCCATTTCACAACATGGGTGTGAACAGATTGCCCACCCACAAGGTCGTTAAAGTCAGACAAGGACTTGAGAAGGAAAGGGAAGGTGTAGTTGTTGGGAAGAATCGAGTTTCTGTTCATGTGGGCGTATATTGAAAGAGGGGTGTGGGGGATTTTGGAGTGAGAGAAAGCTCTGATCAGGGAATTAAAGACGAAGACGTGGGGATTGGGGAAATGGGTGAAGAAGAGGAGAGCCGAATCGAGAAGTCGAAGGAAGTGGCAGGCGTTTATGAAGTGGTGGGCTATGGCGGTGCTGGAATGGAGGTTTTGAAGGATGAGTTGCGATTGAATTTGGGGGATGTGAATTGGGGAAAGAGAAGCGGCAAGAAGAGAGAGGATTCTGTTTGATTGAGCCCACAATTGTGCGGCAGAAGGTTTCATGGCCATGGCTCCACTGCTCGATTCTACATAGACGAAAAAGTCTTTCTTAAAAGTTAAAACCAACCCTACAGGTGCATTTTGGAACCCAGGAATTTGACCAAACGGCTGCAAAATCAACCAACCAACCAAACCAGGCATCGAGTGAAAACCCCACAAAAATTAACGCAAGCTAGGGCATCGAAAGTTTCAAACTTACATTGAGTGAGAGGAAGGGCTCTTTCTTATGTTCCTCTTCGTGCATTTTGACATTAACGAGCTCGAATTGAAGCTCCTTCTCGTACAGACAAGCTAGAACCCTACAGGTGGCTGTGGAAATGGGGATTCCGTGGACTTTGATGCTGCTCGCCATTGATTCCGACAAGAGAGTATTTACAGATACGAACACAGTTCCCTCATAGTGAAAGAAGTAATGAAAGGCAAGTCCTCGGTCAAACTACCACAAGAGGGCAATAGCAGTAAATTAAACACCAATTGCATGATAAAGTGCAATTCAGATCCAACCACAAGTACAATCAAAGCAAAAGCTTGTGAAAATTGGTCCCCCCTCCCCTCAATACCTAGAAATGAATTTTGACGCATCTTGGTTCGATGATCAAAATTAGGGAGCGCTCGGATGGGTGGTTCGTCACGTCGGCAACATCACTGTAAGGGAAAAGAAAAGTATCAAATACCTAGAAGCCTTAGCAATCTTGGAGGGATTAATAAGCATCAACAACAAAGGCCATCACTCCAAGAATTAGAACTTTTCCCAACGCTATAAAACGTTGGGAAAAGAGCAAAAAAGTGTTGGGAGTAGTTTCTCCCGACATTAAATATTCGTGGGTAAAGAAGTCTGCAAAAGTGTGTTGGGAAAGCACATTGCCAACGTTTTTTAAAAAACGTTGGCAGAACCATACTTTTTCCGACCTTCAAAAAACGTTGGTAGGGCTGACTTTCTGCCAACTTTTTCTAAACATCGGCAGATCACGTTGGCAGATGGAAACTTATTCCAATGTTTTAGAGAAATGTTAGAAAAGTTGCTGAAGTGATGAAAACGTTGGCAGAAGTTTCAATCTGCCAACGTTTTTCAAAATGTTGGCAAAAGTTTTCATCTGCCAATGTTTTCCAAAATGTTGGCATATCTACTATTCTCCCAATGTTTTGAAAAATGTCGGCAGATCTACTATTCTGCCAAGTGCCAACATTTTGCAAACGTCAATATATTTATAGTTTTACCGACGTTTTTATAAAAAAGGTTGGCAATATATATTTAATTTTTTTCTAAAATAAAATGCACTAATTTCAATCTCGACATTTTTGGGATACCTGATTTGAAAGTCAAATACCAAAATATTAAATACCAAAATATCGAATACCAAAATATATCAAGTACCAAAATATATTAAATACCAAAATATCATTCAGGTTCACATATTTCAAAAGTTTTTGGATTTACACGTTCAATATGTTTCAAAAGCTACATAAACCTAAGTAGAAGTTTCATGCATTTCAAAAACTCTACATGACAACACTTCATAGTAGCCAAATCCAAAGAACCTGAAAAATATAGTTTATGTAAGCACAAAGTACTTATAAGCCAAAATAATCACCACTTTATATATATATGTGAAAATAAAAGCTCGATAAAAACATAAAACATGGCTAAGAGAGAGAAATTCCGCACCCACCAACATAAAACATAAAACATAGCTAACAAAAACAAATTTCGCACCAACAAACATATAACATAAAACATAGCTAACAAAAATCACATTTCTCACCACAACCACAACGACAAACAAAATTAAAAATAATTAACCCCATAAAAATCCTCCCCTAAAGACACAATAATTACAATGCTTAATAGAGGCTACAATAAGTACACAAACCACCTCCCCTCAATGCTCGTAGCTTGCGAAGGCTACAATAGCTTTGTGTGTTCACACCAAACCATCACAAGCAGCTTTAGAAAAGATATATAAGACCATATAAAAGAAACCAAAACATAACACAAAACTAAATATAGAAATCATAACTATTAAGTACACAAACCATAAAATTGCATAGGAAAATGTCATTCTCAAACTCATGTAAGATTCTATAATTGATGGTACTAAGAGAATAAGAATCATTCATTTTCCTTCTATTTTTCGATAACATCATGAATGCCACCTCTTTGTTGCCTTCAATTTTTTCTGTAAATGATTGTGGCAAATGAACTGATAGATAACTTTCAAAGCGTTTTTTCTTCAACACCCCATTACTCAACAACCATCTCTCTCAAACTACAGTCTTATAATTTTCCTAAAACCTCCTTCTATTTATCTATTTTATCATGTTGGTCCTCCCCAGAAGCTTTATCTGGCGGTAGTGTCTATGACCATAAGGGGGTTGGGGTTGTTGATTGGAAAGGAACTGAAGCAATGGAATATAAGGGATATTTTATAACTTTATATACGGACTATGAAATGGAGGAAAGTAAATAATTGGCAGAATATTTGATGCTTGTTATAATTAATGCTGTTAAACACTTCTATCCATAAACTACGAGTGACATCAAGTGAATTTGTTGCTTTACCAAGATCTTCTATGATAGTAACTGCCTTCAAAGTAAATTTTCTACTGCTTCCATTTTCGTTTCTGCTGTCTTTCCTCCCTTTCTTATTCTAGTGATGTGTAGAGAGGTTGAGCTACTCAGCTTTACGTTGAGTTCCTTGTTAATAATCTTTTGATGAACATTTATTGTTGACTTGCAGAAAAGTCAGGCACAAAAATGTTGTACAGTTTATAGGTGCATGTACCAAGCCCCCAAGTATGTGCATTGCAACAAGTAAATCAAGCAAAGAGTTCATTATTATCTATTATAACCCTATTGGACAAAATAAACTAATACACATTATCTCTTTGGATTAATTTGGAAGTCATTTTTCTATTTCTTTACTTCAGAATTTATGTCTGGCAATAGTATCTATGACCATAGTACCCTTGAAAACCTTTTTTTTTTCTAATAGATATCAGTTTCCTATAAAGGAAAGTCATTCTAAAATTTATAAAATCTCAGGACATCAAGCGGCCCTTTTGCTTTTAGTTA